GAATGTGGGAGGAGGCCATTCCCTTTCCATGAGGAAAGGCCCTCAGCAGCATTTTATATGGGTGAAAACAGCAATTATTAAAAAAAAAAAAAAAAAAAAAAAAAAAAAGGGGGAAAGGAAAGAAAGAAAAGTCTTGATTCCAAAATCTGGAAAGCCTAACTTAAACTGCTTGGTGGAAAGCAATGAGTTAAAATGTTCATTGTATGTGATATTTAAAATTAGAAAGTCGTTAATGCAGTTCATCACAAGTTCTGTATTGGTTGCTTTATTAATAACTGCTGGAGTTCAGTGGCAGCAGGTTAAATTGCTTTAACAGAAGCCTTGGTTTATTTAATGTTTATGAAGGGACAGATTTACTGAAAAAAGAAGAGGGCTGCCCTAGAACTGATTAATTTCTGTCACAAATAAAAGAAATAATATCCTTCCAAAAGACTTGATCTACACAGTAGTCTTGTTGTGTCTTTATTTTGTCACGTTAAGTTTATATAACAAACAGGGCTGTGCTCCTAAGAAGGTAAGCTGGCATTCTTCCAGTTATCGATACTGAAATATTAATGATCAAGCATTTACTGAATGCCATTCCTCAAATGCAGGGTCTCCACAGCATCTTGTTGCATTCATGGAATTCATTTGTTTGCATTATCCTGCTAACTGGTTCTTTCGTATTGCCAAGGTGATGAACAGATTTGACATTTAGCTGATTACTTCACCAAAATTAAACAGAAAACAGGGCAGCCATCCAAAGTTCCTTTCAGTGTGAAAGCTAATTATAAAAATGCTTTGAGCAGCAATTTCTTTTTGGATGTTAAAGTGCTTTTATTAGATTGTTCTCCTGTCATTTTAAGATTTATTGCTGGACACTTATAAAGGGGGTGGCCTGCTGGAACAGAATTATTTTCTGTATTTAAGATGGGAGCCAAAGGAGTATAGAACAAGTTTTAGGCTGTTTGTATTTTAAACAGGAATATCTGAACAGGATATTCTGAATATTTATCTGAACAGGAATGGGGACTGGACTGAAACTAGTGCTGGCTTTCATGGCATTTAGAAACATGAATTTTTACATTTATGATAAACAGAAATATCTACCTACTGCCAATAAATCAGTGACTCCCCATTTCCAAACCAGTTCCTTAGCAAATAAAAAAGGTCATTTAAAAGCTGAGGACAACCTTTACATTGTTAGTAGCTTGTGTTTTACAGTGTAAATTTACATAATTTGGACCCATCACAATCTGGTGATGGAAAAATCTAACCAAGTGCAAGTACTTGTCTTTCGTAGGCCATTACTAGTTCTGAAATAGCATGAAACACTACCCTGAAGTCACTCTGCATAAGTCACTGAATAAGAGTTGGCCAAATGAATTTACAGCAACTACTTTGCCGCTGAAGAGTGATATATCCTATTACCAGATCTATGAACAAGTTTGTCTTGAAATATTTTGCTAATGCCTTGGAAAATATTTAAGTTGCTATGCTGACTGTTGTTATTAGTATCCTGTGGGCCTCAGACAAGGTGTGATCTAGCAAGGTTTAAAGGTGACAAACTGGGTATTTTTGCATATGATAGTGTCTAGCACACTCTGGCTACTAAATCAGCCTGTGAGGACATATATTAAATCTTGACAGTGAGGTCTATTAATATACCTTGAGCCCAAATGAGTTATGTGAATCTGCTGTTTCGAGCTGTAGATTTCTGCCATAACTAGGAGGAAATATTTTGCTAGGGGTAAATTAACGTTGAAAGCTGGTCAAAAAAAAAGTTTAATGTTGAAAATTTCTTCTTCTTCTTCTTGTCAGTGTTTGGCTTCTGTACTAAATCCCATTTGTAATCTGCAGGAAAAACAGCAATATAATTCCCTTTGTATTGTTTCGTGTTATTAGGGTTCCAGTAGTTTAGTCTGTTGCCTACTGAAATGTGCATCCCAGTGAATTATCTTCCCAAGGGTGATTTTTGCACTTCTCAATCTGAGGGCTTTTCTTGTAAAATACAATAACTGCCAGTGCTAATCAAACAATTTATCTAGTGCCTATTGCAGAATATCTAATTAAGATAACTCAGCATTCTCTGGTAATAAATTACAAATACGTGAATAAGAGAACTACTTTTTTTTTTTTTTTTTTTTTGGAAAAAAAAATGCATCCCCCTACGGAAACTTTAAACAGAGAAAACAATTTAAACTGACTTAAAGGCCGTATAAGTCTATAAGACAAATGAGCTGGCTTCTTACCTGCCTGTTAAAATGTGTTTTAGTGGTAAGCCTGCATAACTTGTCTTTGTACCTATAAAATGTCTAACTACCAATAGGGTAATTGATCCCACATCTTTTCAGGATTTCAAATAAGGAAAAAGGATCATTTTTTTAAAAAGCTACTCAGTGCAGTTTGTAAAAGCTCTTTATAATTTGTAAAGTGGTGAGTCAAAGTCTGTCCCCACAATTATATTAGCTTCATCCATATGAAGATGTTAGTAAATTTATGTGAACTGGACATAAACACATTGTTAATTTATTACCTGCATTTTCATGCTGTTCCTGTCCCCGTTAAGCACATCTACCTACCTTCTTGGCAATATGATGAATTGTTCAGGAATGTGTAAACAGTGGAAGAAATACAGTTCTGTTAACTTTAAAGTTGACAGATTCATGTCCTTATCCACTGAGAACCCTCATTTGCTGATTGTGGTTGTTAACAGATGTCACTTTTCTGCAATTTAAGCTATCGCACTGACTAAAACCCTGTTGCAGCCTTTTGTTGTGTTTACTGTAATCCAGAGCAAGGTGTGATGTGCTTGTCCAGGTTGTGAAAGGAGTGAATGCAGAAGACCTCAGTCAGTCTAACAGCACAAACCTACATAAATTTTACCTATTTTTTCTGTTAATTTTTTAAATAAATAAGAAATATGTAGACACAGCTTTAATTTGAATGGATGGTGTTGAGCTAATCAACATTGAACTCATTTTTATTTACTAAGTTGAAGTTCTTATGTTAGAAATGCCATCAAGTTTTGTCCAATTTTTGTAAATAAGCTACCCAGCCAAGCAGAGAAAAGAGTGAACCTTGCTTTGATTGCAAGAGTATTTCGTGCAGCCTAACTTTTACCTCTTGGTTTGCTGCAGGTTGATGGCATCCTGTGCTTGGCTGACATTCTTACTGATAGCAGCCACTCTGAAGCCACTCGTGCAGAAGCGGCAGCAGTTGTTGCACAGATCACATCCCCACATCTCACGTTCACTCAGCATCTCAGCAGCTTCCTGGAAAATATGGAGGAAATCGTAACAGCGCTTGTCAGTAAGTTCTTTATGGGATTTCTGAGTCTTGACTAGGATGATAGGTTGAGGCAGGACTTTCATTAGCAATATTCTGAAAAGAACATTTACCCTATCTACTCCAGATAAAGGAACTCAAATATTCAACATGCAGAATTGAGGTATTCTGCAACTGTATGTTTTTTACTCTAGTCCAAATTTGAATAGAGCTTATGCACATTTGTCAAAATAATCTCCATGTAGAATTCTAACTTCAGCGTCAGAGACAGGACTCAACAAAATATCCTCCTGACCCTGAAGAAAAGTATAGCATAAGCTGTGTGCACTAACGCAAGGAAAAGACTCTGGGTTTCTTCCCAGGCTTCTGACCCATGGTGCAATGGGGCAAGCTTTTCCATAACTTGTCTCAGTGAGAATATTTAAGAAAACATAAGATTATATTTCTTGTGACTTGACACAGAGATTGATACCTTATTTCTAGCACTGTACTCTATCCCTCTCACAAATCAGAAGCTATCACAAAAGTATTCTTTCTGAGCAGGTATAACCCCGAAAGTTTCCTTCCATGTCAGAAAGTAGCTTGTCAGTCTGATTTGATTTCTTGTGTGCAGCAGATCAATGCATTTTACCTGCATGTGTCTCTGCTGAGCCCGGTGCCTACACTTAAACTAAAGCAGCTCAATTTTCATGCATGTTTGTGTTCTTGTAGCTAGAGCAAGAGTGCGCTGCTGCAGTGACTGCCAAATTCATTATCTGAGATGTGCTCAGGCAGCCTTAGATATGTCCAATGTAGCTAGGGCTGCAGTCAAGGAAACACTTTTATTTCCAGTGGCCAGAGTGACAAGCACAAATATTTACAGTCCTGTCCTGAATCCAGTGGGTGGAATTAACTCATGCTGAGATTGGTTTTGCTGCCAGTAAACTGCTAGAGGCATTTGACCTGACCTGTTCTTCTTCTGTTGTTATGTACCAGTCATTACAGCGCACCTAGTCTGCTTCAAGGGACAATCTGAACAGTTCCTCCAAGAAAGATTAGCAAATGGAGCATTTCCCCAACTGTCACTGTCCAAGCTGCACATGCTTTTTAGTAACATGCATTCTGCCCAAGAAATGTACATGCTAAAAATGGAATGTGTGTAACTTTGGGAAAGCCCTTTCAGTAATATGACACTGGTTTCTTTATAATATTTATAACTCAGGAATTGAATTACCGTAATATGTTTAATTTTTAAAGCATGCTGAAATCCATCTCCTAGGTAATTCAGATCTGAGTTAAAATACATTTGTGCAAGGAACTAAAAGATGGCTTTGTCCTCAGCACTTCTTACAGAAGCTGGAAAATATGCTAGGCAGTCTCCTACTTTGGAGGAATAGATTGAAACATGCAGCGTATGTATATCTTGCTCTAAGGATCGAGATGCATAACAGAATTATTATCTTATGAGTCAATTACTGTTAGACATCTGCCTCCTGTCTCTGATTTTGTTTAGATGTATAAAATTTTATGTTGAGCAACATTCAGTGGCTTATTTGCTGTAGAATGGTACGCTGAGACTGTCATTTCATTAATTAGATGAATGCTTAGGAGGATTCAGTGTTCTAGGTTCGTATTCACTGTATTTGCTGCCTGTGGTACAAATCTCAGAAGCACAAGACGGAGAAATAATGCTTTGAAACACACAAGCATGACTTTTGCAGAGAAGGAATGGCTGTTTTTTTTTTTCTCAACTTTCTGCATTCCTAGAACTGTGCCAAGAAGCCTCATCTGGTGAAGTTTTCCTGCTAGCTTCAGCAGCCCTTGCCAATATTACTTTCTTTGACACTGTGGCTTGTGAGATGTTGCTCCAGTTAAATGCAATGAAGATTCTTCTAGCAGCGTGTTCAGACAAACAGATAGTGGATACTCCATATTCCCGGGATCAGGTGAGCAGTTTCTCAGGAAGGTGCCATGTCTGAGCAGTCAATATCACTGTTAAAGTGCATTCGTTTTCAGTTCCGTGTCTGCTATAATATAGTAAAATCTGTCAGAGAGCCAAACACTGAATGAAATGATCAGTGTAAAAGTGTTATTCCACAAGGAGATGTTCAAACCTTGACAGAGAAGGCTCTGAGGCAAACAAGATAGATGTGTACATGTTTGGAGGCTGGTACCTAAATATACAGTCGTTTCAAGGATGGATCAGCTCCAAAAGCTGAACAAGGATCTGATCTTCAGTCTATTGACGTTGTTTAGGTTTGGATCATGACCTAAATGACAGCTGGTTTGCAAATTTTCCTGGCAAACACCACTGAGATAGTTTTGTGTTTCCCTTTTACACATTCCAGCTTTTTCTTTAAACAGCTGCGTAAAATTTAAGGTATGTGTTAATGCACAGATGAAGTCAGAGAGGATTCTTCTTTCCTCTCTGCCAGTCAGGCACTGTCATGCAGTGGGGTTTAGCAGAGGAGCATGGCTTATATGGCTTCTTTGGCTTCTTAGTGATGTGCTCAGCAGAGAAACATCCCTCTCTGCTGCTTGAGGGTTTCAGCAACTACCACACTTAAACGGAGTTTGCTAGTCAGCTCTGCCAACCTTGTCTGATTTATGAGACATTGCAGATATAACTCAGAATATATCTCAGAATATATGCCTGGAACTCAATCCGGACCAGTCTATCCTCTTACCACTTCTGAATTAGTCCAGGACTAGTTTATAGTGAGCTGAGGATGTGTATGACCATAGAAAACTCTGTGCACCCTTCAGCAAGAACCAGGCTGTGGAAATGAAAGCACCTTAGAGACTCTTACTGGATAGGATTGATTATTGAAGCACTTCTTACTATTGTAAGAAGGAGTTACTAGGGCTATTTTAGCTTGTATTAAGAACACACGGTATGTTTCCAGCTCAGGAATGTTGATGAAAAGATGGTGTAGACCATAACCACCCTATTAGTCTTTGGGGGCTACCAGGTATCTCAGCTGTTTGATTTGCTGTATATTATTATTTCATATGTACAATCCTTCATGATCTTTTGTTCCTTCTATGCCTTCTCATAATTTTGATTTCCAGTTTTGAATTTTCAGTTTGCTCTGTGCTGAGCGTAGAAAGCTCTTTCTTCATATGAGAAAGGCAGTTTTTTAAAGGAATAGATACCACTTCCTTGGTAGTAGACTGCTTGACAGTGTATTGCAACTTCCAGCCTGCAGGACATCTCATTAGCTAGAGTATCAGAAAACTTGTAAATGGCATCCTTTCATGAAGTATGGCATCCTAATCCCCAGCACCTCTTCCTATTCCTTCCTTGATAAAATACTGTAATAGAGCCTCTCAAACTTAAACTTCCCAATTTTCAATAGAAAGCTTTAAGTGACACAATTATCCTGCAGAAATATACCCACTTCTTCCAAGTACATCACTGCTTTGGCATTACTGATGATAATAATAATAAAAAAAGTAATTTACTGAAACAGCCTGAAGCGTGGTCATCCTTAAGCCAAAAATAGGAGAAGGATGGCTGAAATGAAAGAACATTTTTTATTCTCTTTTTATTTTTTATTCTTTTTTATTTTGTTTTGCTTAAACTTCTTTAAACTTCTTAAACAAGTCACACTATCCTCACCCTGTATAGCCTTTTTAAGGAAGCTGGAACTGATTAGTTGCCACCTACATGATGGTATAAATAGGTAACATTTTGCTGCCTGCAGAAAATGTTTTCCTGCTCACGTACCTCTGCCAGTGTTGCTGTCTTACTTCTGAGAGGTTTTGAGTGAAAGTGGTAATAAACTTTTCAGCCTTCACTATTTGAAAAACAACTTCTTCCTCTACTCTTCATGCTGTGTTAGATTGGATCAAGTGAGAATCCAGGAGATGAGTGTTGGTCTTAATCATAAACATGTTCATCTGTGTATGGCTGCCTGTATTGTATCTATGACCAGTACTATCACATTAGAATCGCTTAGTTTTATAACAAAAAACTTCTTATTTTTAATTCTTGGGCAAAGCCGTAATTTCCAGAATGTTTAGTGTCTGGTTTTAGATCAGGATTGGTATGAATGTGTTACTCTTTCTCACTGTGGATACTTTTTTTTACTGGATAGCAGGTTTTTCACCTTAAAGGAACATCAAATTATTCTTGTTAGAGAAGGGTTGGCACCCTACTGAATCTGGGTAATGTATACAGTCAGATGTCTCAATGGAGATTAAGCACTGTCAGAAGAAGGGTTTAACCAAAAGCTTCATCATTCAGGGACTGCTTTACCTAGACCATACCTAGAAAAAATGTGAAATACATGTTTGTGCAATATATTTATGAATAATAAATTTTTTCCCTATACATTCTCACTTGTCTCCTCAGTGCAGCAAGTATTCTCACCTTACCTGTGAAGTTGTGGAGGTGCAGTCTAACAGTTTCTGGTCTGCTATTCAGGCAGACAAAGAATTAACGTGCAGTGAACATATCAGTTCTGAAGTAGTTATTCCTATTTCTAGTTTCAAAATCGGTGAATTTTGTTCCAAAGAGATTTGAGATGGAAGTGGACTTCTAAAATATTTCCTGTTTCTGAGAGATGTGCTGGCTTTTAAGCTAAGACCTGCTCTGATAAATATTTGAAGCTGTTAATACTGTTCTTCCTCTAGGTTCACATCCTTTCTTTCATTCCTCCATTTGTTCAAGACATTTATGTCTTCCCCTTTTTTTTCTGTCATGTTGGAGATTGAAGGGTCAAAAAGTAGGTGGAGACAGATGTTACTTCAGGATGGAGAAATCTTGATTTTGTAAAATGTTGCCTAGGTCCTAGTGAAAGACAGAGAGCAATGTTTTCTAAAGACACAAGTGTATTAACAGCTTCCTTTGGTTTCTTTTTCCAAATTTCAGCCTGAATTACAGGAGGAGGTAACAGTCCTGCTTCTCAGGCTGAGTTTCTTGAATACTGGACAATTTATTTCTCCTTGCTATGTGTGCTTTGTTTCTGTTTGTGGTCATACAGACTCTGGAATTCCTGACTCATTTTGTTGAAGTGCTGTCCAGATTTTCCCGTATGTATGGAAGCCAGTGTGGGCTGAGGATATTCAAGCGTGTATTAAGAATATGAGATATGCAAGAGTTTGAGCATTGTGGTCCATGTTAGATGCCCTTCTTTTTCACATCTGACAAGAAGTATGAAACAAAATTGCTGCTCACTGGAGGAAAGGGATTCTTGGAAGAGTCCTTGCTCCTGCCCTTATAGCTCTCTTCTTGGAACCAAACAAGGATGGGAGGGAGCTTCCTTTCCCAGTTGGATCAGAAGAGAAATACTCCTTCCAATGTGGCACAGTCAGCTGGTCTTTCCCGGAAAAGAAATGCGTGTGGTACCGTTGGACGGAGGTTGATAGTTCTGTCCCTCGTAGGTATCAGTAGACCTAAGCTTCTTGTCTCATTCTTAAAATTACTTTGATCATCTGCAAGAAGGTGAGCAGTCCTTCAAGCAGTTTTTTAATAATCCCAAATGATTGAAGTGCATGTTTGCACATCCTCTTTGTAGTTCAACACTCTTTTTCATATTTACATACTGTGGATAAAAATGCAGCACAGTCTTTACATGTGAACATAGTGTTACATTATTACATGTCAGAGGTCCAACATTAAATCTCTCAAACACCAAATCTTACTGATTGAGACGAAATGACTGTTTAGTTAAAATTCTGTGCTTTGGATTAGATATGATGTAGGCAAAGTGCTCCAACATGCGAAATGAGAGACTCAGTTGGAAGAGGGAAGTTTCAGGTCAGTTGAAGAACTCTTTGATATTCTTTCATAGTTCTGTGTGGTGGGATTTATTCCTAATTCCTGGGATCAATTCCTAATTTTGCTGCTGCTCTGGTTTTGAAGCAATAATTTAACTTCTGTACATTTCTGTTTAATCATCTGTAAAGTTGGGCAGTCAGTGTGCTTACTCAGTGTAAAGCCTCTCTAGAGGAAGCCCACTATGTCAGCACGATTCATTGCAATTTTTATTTTCTACCTGCTTGCCAGATTCACAGTGCAATCAGGCTGTGCTAAAGCAGGGTTATCTGTTTACTGCAAATACTAGAAGCAGGAGAATTTCCTGCAGGCTGTAGCCAACATAAAGCTGTAAGAAAGAGATGGTTGTGTATGCATTTGGTGCTTTTGATGTCTTTTCGTCCTCAATCCATCAGGAGATGAGATAGCAACATTTGAATATTCTGAGTTTTGTCACTGTACTTTTTTTTCAAAAGAGAGTCACTATCTAGGAGGTTATGATTTCAATCTCAGTTCTCAGGAGGTGAGCTTACCTAAACAACATTTCTACAGATTCCCATTACTTACCCCATTCTTTTTTCTTCTCCAGTAAGAAACTTCAAGGAGAGGCAGCAGAAATGACTTCTTGACCACTCTTCTTTGGTTAGCAGCAGTTGAAGTAGATTCCTGCCCTGGGAGTAGTTAAGCTTATTCCTGCATACGCAGGCCTCAATGCAGATCCAGATAAATCCAGATAAACAAGCAAAATTGTTTCCTCTAACTGTGTGCTGGTGCTTAGACCAAATTCTATTTTACTCTAGGGAGACCAGGTGTCTTGGGTTGACTGAGTCAGTTCCTAAGTAAGGATGCTTTCCAGTACCAAGAAGGAAGTCTGATGGATAATATCCTGGATTTTCATCTGAAACATGAGATACTGTGGCCCCCAGAATTTATCAGAGCTGCGAGACACAAGCTCTGGCTTGTTTGAGTAGTTTGAGTTGTGTAACTTGGCTTAAGGAACATGCCCCATACAAGATGCATTCCTTTGGGTGTCTTTAAAAAAGAAAAGAGAGAATAAGGTTGCCCTATTTTCTAATTAACTAGCTTAGTCAATATTATCAAGTAAATTAAAATGTAATAAGGATGTGTCTCATGCCAAAGGCAAGATCAGTTTAGTTTTAGTTTCCATTGCTCTGCCTCTGAGTTCCAAGGATGTAGCTCCCTGGCACCTCGATAGCTGGACCTAGACAAATATGCCAGCAGATCCTGCCTGTAACTTCTGTTACTATTTAATGGGGATGTTTGCTTCTTATCAGTCAGGTGTCAGAAAGACCCACTGATCTGCATACCTAGGTACCTTTCTTTCCCTACTTTTAGGAAGGAAACTGAATTCTTCCCATAAAGAAATGGTCAGCAGATCCATAGGGATTTAAGTTTTCTTTTTTAAGCTATATTATATATCAGAGAAAATTCCTAGAAGTTCCTGTTCCTGCTGTGTATACTGTTCTACTGTTTCTAGGTGGGCTGATCTTGAATCATCAGTTTATGTATTTTTAATATTCATTCAGAAACAAGAACTCCATCTTGCTTCTGATTAGTTGGCTCATGCCCCTTTCTCCCTGAAGGTGGGTATCTGGAATTTTGCAGTCATACTCTGGCTTAACCTTGTGGCATTAATTTGAATGAATTACCACACAGACTTATAATATGTAGGAAAAATTAATTTTGCTTAGTGATGAATCAGCCTTAAAGGAGTAAATAAGATTAGCAATTCTGTATTGATCTGCTTTGCCACTCCAATAAATTACTTGGTAATTCTCATTTATGTCTATTTATGTTGGGACTACTAAACAGTGTGCCTTTATTATCAATAAAAATACATTGCCATCATACCTTTCACCTCGGTAGAGCTCTCCAGGCGAGGCATGGGGGCATGAAAAGTGGGAGATGCTGCCTCTTTAACAGCCCAAAATGTGTGCTTTCATCTTCCACATGCTGCTGCACCTTTCTCCCCAAGTAGCTGGTTTCACACTAATGAGAGGCACTTCTAGGGCATCTTAAATCTCCCCTGTTAAGGATGAATTATCTCAAGCAGTAAAGAAGCCTGTTTTTTCTTACATGTGCTTTAGGTTTAAACCTCTCTGCTACTGAAAAATTTATGCTCTCAGTGGCTGTACTTCCCTGGCTTATAATGGAGCATTTTCTTCTAGTTTTACTTTTGTAATAAACATTTAGCGTCTTTGTGCACCGGTTAATGAACATGAGCATTAATTGTTTAAAAGGAAAAATGATGGTAGTATTTGTGATTGCGTTTTGTTATCATAAGCACTTCCTTAAGCTGACTTTTTTTCTTTGAAGACATTTTGAACAAAACTATTTTAAAAGTTCTTATTTTACCGTATGGTTTCTCAAATTTGAATCGGTCTCCAGAACTGTAATTCCTATGGTTCAGTGAAAATCAGGCCACAGAAATCAAAAGGAAGTTTCATATTTCCTAAATTCAGTAGATGTGAAAGACTGGGAGGATGGAGGGATATTGTGTGGAACTAAAAGCTCTTTTCATATGATAAAAGTAGGTTTTGTTTATTAGTCACCAGCAGTGCCAACAATGCCTTATTTATTAAATAGAAAAATTTGCTGTATACTTAAAGGGTGGGTGGAAACACAAAAATTTTGCATGCCTCATTTACCAATAAGTGGTTAAAAGGTGAATTTTCAAAGTGTTCTGATTTGGGGAGCTTTTTTAAGCTCTGAAAATTAACTATTGGTCTCAGTTCAACTTGGTGAAAAAACATATTATTCCCATTGGCAGTATCTGCATGTTAAATATTTTGATGAATCGGTGCCTCTATAGGAGATGCTTAAAAATGAGTTCTGAAAATTCTTGCTGTGGCGTGTAATATTTTAGCGTGTCTCCCTATTACATGGTTTGGGTGGTAGTGCTCAGCACACATCAGTGGCTACGTGGGGAGCACACAGAAAGGCCAGAGGCCTGTTACACTGTTGGCTTTTTGTAGTGTGTATTACGTGACATTGACCTGAATAGTTCAGTTTTCCTCTCGTGTCAAGCAAATCTATTAGGCAGTTTGTTATTTGTTGATCAAGTCCATTTGTCTCTGGTTTTCATTATTACAGTGTTTGAGTACTGTAATTCCTTTGTTAGTTAGGCCTGGTATTGCAAATTCTTTTGAATATGTGTTCCCATAAAATGCATGTTGAATAACTGGAAAACTAGCAATAACAAGTCTCAGAAATAGCTGTGCAGATCTGAAATAAATCAGTTTAATTTACCAAAAAAGAAGATCAAGAGGTAACTGAGTAGACACCAAACTCTAGTGAATAAGCTGCGTTCTTAATTGGCCGTGAAATAAATCCAAAAATATCCCCCAATCACTGTGGGAATTAGATACTCAAAATAAGACCAACACCGAAGGAAAAATACTGAGAGAAATATTGTAGTAGAAATGCAGGCACCAAGGTGGGAAATTATCCTTCGTTGGGTCTTCAGTTGTAGCACATGGTTTCTAAAGCAGCACTCTTAAGAATCCTCCCGTAGGTTTGGCAAATGATTTCATTAAAGAAATTCCAGATATGATGAATCAACAGCTTCTTCAAGATGTTTTTTATAAGCATAATTAAACTGATGCTAAATATTGCAGTTGTATGCTAGAGATGTATGTTGAGTATTATAAATTTAATCTTATGACTCTAAAATACCTATTTCTTTAATTCTGAAAGAGGCTTCCTTACCTATTTTTTTCCAATAGTTTTCATCTGTTTTCTCGGTGCAAATGAGGCTTCGACAGTCACCTGTATGTATGTGTGCTTGTTTGTGCTCCATGTCTTTAAATGTCTATCTGTTTGCCCTTTGATGGGACATGTAATGGAAAGAGAGAGGTTGAGCTAAAGATTGCAGCATGAGCCCATGCATCATTAGACAAAAATAATCTACTGTGGAAGACATACCATTAGAAATGTTCTGTTTATGGTGTGTGATCAAATGTATATCCAAAAGAAATCAGGCTTCATTAATACTAGTGCTCCCCAAAGTGTTGAATTTCAAAGCAAATTGAGGCTACATGTAACTTTGTGTTTTTCTCCAGAGAGTTCATCTTTAGTAATAAACTTTCTTGAATTTTGGTCTCTGCTACAAAGGGAAATTTTCATGTAAGCTGCCTATATACTCAACTATAAAGCAGGCAAGTATAGGAGAGGTATAATATTTTAAGTAAACTCTTGATCCTGCTCACCTATTACATGTTTACATGATCCTATTTCATGTTTATGTCTGTATTGGTCACATCTCAGGAAAATGTGTCTTGCTCGGGCGAAAAAAAAAAGCCTATTTATATGGAGTGGGTTAATCTATAATTGAACTTGACAGTTATTGATAGGACCATATATGATAAACAGACCATATATGAACCCCTCTGAACAAAGTTAAATATAAACCCCTCAGGCTAGAACATGGACATCTGATAAAGTATAGGGGGCTGCATGATCAAAGAAAGCAAAGGTGTCTGAGGTTTAGCTATAACCATCACTCAATTTTTTGTGTCATAAGAAATGCACAAAATATTTTTACATATGAAAATGCTTATTAGACAAAATAACTTGAGCAGTGAAATAATTGGCACGTATTCAAATTGTGGTTAATTGAATTCTTCATCTGTGGCTGAGAGAGCCACATGGGGTATAGATTCTTCATAGAGGAAGTAATTTTCATTAACAGGATATAATTTAGAATGAGAAACATATACACTCTGCCTGATACACTGTTAATAATTAATATGGAATAAATACATAGACATATACTGAGTTACCATATTTTTACCTGTCACTCTTTAGAGTTTCAACAACTCATTTGCATCTTAAGTAAGTATATTTATTCAGAGAGATGACACTATAACACTACCTCCAAAAGTGGAAGACCTTTATGTCACAGCATCAGATATGAGTCATCCTTGTTACTAAAATGGCAAAGTGAGATCAGAATGGTGATTTGATCTCATGCCTACCTTCATGTATCTAAGAAGTTTGCTTGTTTGTGAACTAATGCTCTACAGTTAAAATGTGATAGCCAGTTCTCAGACTTACCTTTATTTTTGAAGCAGATAAGCATTACTCAATTAGAATGGAAAGAAAATAAAGAACATTTTAAGAAAGAGTATTACTTCTGTTTTGTGTTCTAGTTATATATAATATTTATTCTTCCATTTACTGTTAACACTGACATGTATTTGCATGCAGGAAGCAAGTTATTTGAGCACTAAAAAAATGAAAGAATATGTTGTGGGATGCCAGAGAGAAAGCCTATGATAACAGTGAATGGAGTAGGTGATTGAAAGCCAACAGCTTCACATGATCCAGTCTCTGTCCAAGGCTTGCTGAATTACCTTAAGCTAGTTGCTTTGTGCCTGATCTTAAAAACAGTGCTGTTTTGGATGGTCAGATATTCTGTAGGTCAGGGTTTCAAAGAGCGCTTCCATTGGTACAAAAGCTAACTTTGGTCTTAGCTCAGGAAAAGCACAAACAGATGCCTGAGTCTAGCTCAGTTTGGGGCAGCTCTTTGACGTGCACATGATACATGGCTGCAGAAAGATGGAGACATTTTTTTTAAATCCCCCTTGAATCAGGGCTCAAAGCTCAAATCTTTTGTGAGGGTTCCTTCACATTTCAGCTGAAACAGAAGCATAACAATTATTCACTTTTACTGAGTGTATGCTATGTACCAATTCTTAGCCTTCACTTTGAGCTCTGCCTGAGTTGGTGTGTGACTGCAAAATTTATTCTTGACGGACAGCAGCTTTTGGCTGAACTCTTTACAGGTCTGCAGCTTTGTTTGCTTGGTTGCTCGGTGGTTTTTTCATATGTTTATCTTCTTTCTACTGATGTGACTGTTTAAGAAATCTGCTGCATAGATCTCTGTATGGCAAGCCTTTATGCAGTGGTGTGGGAGTGTAAGGAAAAGGAGGCTTTTCCGTTTCTGGTTGTCCAAATTTCAGTTAGCAACCATATATAAGATAAAGACTCCTGAGGAATCACAGAGGTAGGGGTTGGTTGACTGCCTACAAGAATGCTCTTTCATTTTACTGTGTTTGCCATAGTTCTGCCGTGCTGATTTTAGAAACCACAGTGGCATTACTGAAATACAAGGTAATACTTCATATTTCCTTCTCTTTTTAATAACAGGTGGTAACAATATTGGCAAACATGTCTGTGTTGGACCAGTGTGCATCAGAAATCATTCAAGGAAATGGTACGTATTTTAGCTGAATTATATCTGTATTTGTTTGCAGAGAATGGGGGTAAATGACAAAGGAGCAATACAAAGTAAAGGAGAAAGGTTGCAAAATTAACTGTTATTAGTGAAGCCTGTGTCAGCTGGATAGTACATGTTGGTGCAGAATGCAGAATGAGTCCGTGGGGTGGTTCTATGCACTTCAAATACATTACCACTGCTTTAGATAATGTTGCACCTTTGAACATACTGCTAATTTTGTTTAGTTTGTGTTATGTATCCACAGATGAAATGCAGACTAGTGTGAAGCGTTCCCAAAACCTTTGTTCTTATAAATTACACTGTATAAGGTGGCAGTTCTTACATATTGAAAGACATCATCTGATTCTGAGCTACAAATACCTGCGCTTTATGTCACTTTGTTCACAAGTATTCAAAAGTACTATAAATTTTGAGACGTAATGTTTTTATTATTGTAAAGCAGTTACTGCATTTTTTCCACACTCCTTTAAATATAATGTTTTGAGAAGTTCATTATTTAGAAAAGAACCTGGGCATTATAGGGCCACCAGAAGGCTGAGAAGTTAGGTTAATAATTCTGTGGATGATGATATAGGAGGATATAACTGACTTAATATCACACTTTCCAGCAAATTTGTGGGCAGGTGATATACTACGACAGCTTTTTACTAGTTGGGATATTCAGTAAGTGTGAAGCATCACATCTATTGCTGCTTCTGTCCTAGGAATACTCCTTTCTCTCCCCCCAGCACCACGCCCCCCCCCTTTTTTTTAATTAATATTTTGGTAGGAATGGTTTGAATTTTGCTCCATTTGAATCTGAGAGATTACTGATTGTAGGTGAGAGAAGGGGTTTCAAAAAGGCCCTTTTTAGCAGTGGTTCTTGAAATAGAATTGATCATTTTCTATATAGTATTGGATTTAGCCATTTCTTGCATTTCAGTGGAAAATTTGAGCTCTGTGCATATAACTGTGACTGGTAAGGACCAAACACAACCAGTTTGCTTGATGGAATCCATGTGTGCCCATAGTTACTGTGCACTGAATATTTGAGACCAGAGGAGTGTGGAGGCTGAACAGATTTGGGTACTAAAGTATGTCAGTCACAGATGTATGCAATTTTATGAATTACACAGGTTTCCTGTCCTGTGAGGGAGCTGGTGCAGTGAGGAGAAGCCGGTCAGGCTGGCCTTGTGGTTTCTAACCTGACCTCGCTGTTCCGTGGGAGAGGTGGGGCAATTCTGGAGAGAGATCCCTCAGGCTGGTGGTGGCCTCTGCTGTGCAGTGTGTGCTTCCCACACAGGATGTGGGATGCCCTGGGATCTTTTCAGAAACTTGGTAAGGTCTCAGCATTCCTAGATGTCCTTAATTATAGGATAGGGTACAGAATACATGGTTGGTGACTTGTCTGTTTGATTTGAGCTGTTGTCTTCTGATTTGCTGTAGCCATTGGACTGCACTTGGAATTTGTTCTGGACATGTACTGGACTCTTGTACTCCTTGATGCTTGGCAGGTTGCCTGTATTTCCTGGAGCACACCAAAAACTGTTCTGTTCGGGACAGGTGGTTAGCTGTATTTTGTTTAATTCTGCTGCAGCAGGGAGTCAGTTAAAGCTCGTGGGCTTCTGCTAACAGCTTTGCTAACTAGGCCTAGGTCTTGCCAGCTGCTGCAGTAGATGGAGATGTATATGTGAATTATGAAGCTCAGCCCGAAGAGTAGATAGACCAATGTGGGTCCACTGTGATTCAGCTCATGAGAGTGCCAAGCCCTGGGAAGAGCTGCAGTAGTTCTGCTCTCAATCAGGACTAGGAGCTGGTTCATTCTCAAGCTGTATAAATCAGGAGAAAATCCCTGTTACGTCTCTGGAGTTTCAAAAGTGGAGAAAGATTCTAAGACAATACTCAGGCATGAAGTACTTTACAGGAACAGGATCCTACTGATTACCTTTTGCAAGTAACTGTAAAAGAACTTGGGCTAGTCATTGCATATTCATCATGCACATGTGCACCATTTGGGAGTTGTAAGTATGACTTGGACCCAAAATGATTAGAAAACCCAAGCAAACAGTGCCAAAATAACCCATTCTGTTTCCCAGAAGAAAGCAGGAGTGTTTGCTCAAGTCTTCCCTCAGTGAAATACATAATTAACCAGAGTATGTATATGGCAAAGTGGATTTGTTTACACACCTTTTAATGGAAATTCACACAGAAGCATTTGCCCTCAGGCTTATGAGGTTTGACACTCATCTTGTGTGTAAAAGCCCTTGTGTCTGGTTAAATGCTACAGTAATGAACTGCTGCTTAGAAGCCAGATTCACAAATACACTGTTGAGGAGGCTGTTTAGATGTGAAAGAGTTTAAATGGTTTTTCTTCTCAACTTTGACTTGATATTTTTGTATGTCAATTGATTATTATTTAGTTGTGTAATTCTGATGTTAATTTTGTTAATTATTTATGCAAATGTTCTAATAGTTAGAATCCTCTGATGCTAGCTAAAGTAATCTGAATATCTGATGGCATATGGAGCCTAATAGCACATAATTGTCCTTACATTTAAAATAATTTAGAAAATATAAATCAGCACAGTCTCATCTGTTTTTGTCCTGTTGCAATATCAGCTCCTACAGGCAACATTAAGTAAATAAAATCATTTTACCATGAGCGAAATGATTTTTTCTGGAGAACTGCAACACAGTAAACTCGAGGCCAGAGCTTTCTCTTTTCCTTCATGAAGGGTATTTAGAATGGTGATTGCTTTATGTATTTGAACTGTTTGAAGGGGACCTTTTTAAAGACTTGCTTAAAAAAAACCATAAACTGAAAAAAGGGTTATTTTCCTGTAGTTCAGTAAAAAGAGCTTCATATAGAGACCTCAGATTTATGACTACACATTTTAAAGTTAGTAATCCCCTTGGGTTAGTTTAGAGTCAATTAAAGAATTGCTTTTATGTTTCAAAAATTTACTGGGTCCATTTAAAATGCTAACTGCTAGATTTTGGTCAGTGTGCTTCAAGGCAGGTTGAACAGAAGTGGAAGAGAGCTTGAGCATTTTTTTAGTTTCAGAAGCTTTATAGTTTCCCCGTGAAAATGAAGTTTACCCAGATCAGATGTACCTAAATCCTCATGGCAGCCTTGCAAGCCCCTGTTAGGCATTTTTTCATGGATTATTCAGGCAATGATTGATCTGTATTTACCTAGTTCACTTTTCCCTTTACTCTTTTGGAGTGAAATTTTAGTAGGAGAGCGACTAACTCTGGCTTTGACATCCTTGTAGGTGTTCAGCTTTTATTGGAAATGCTCTTTGAGAAATCATCTTCAGGAAATTCAGCAGAAGTTGCTGCTTGTGAGCGAGTCCAGCAGAAATCTGCAGTTACACTGGCGCGACTCAGCCGAGATCCTGAGGTGGCAGATGCAGCTGTAAAACTCAGCTGTAAGGATGTATCACTTGCTTAATGGAAGACTGAAAAAGAGGGAGGAACTGCCAGTCAAGGAAGTTCTTTTTCTTCTTTATAAACTGTACCTCAGTTGGAAACCTGCAGTTTCCAATATAGTGAAACTAGTAGGAAGTGACACATTCTTTTGGCCAGAGCTTTTTAAGCTTTTTATGGGACTGTGGAATGATTGATAGGGAAGGAAAGGAGGTCATTATTTTCTTTGTGGAAGAGCAATGCAGGGTAAAAACATTGCATTTGTTTATGCTTTGCTGTTATTAATCAAGACAATTCTGAACTGCATATCTCCATGGACAGTCCGAAAGTATTTGCATATAATCTTTGCTTTAGAAACCATATCAAATTATGAAGATAAATATAAGATACCTAAAAAAAAAAACAAAATAAGGAGATTGTTTTTCTAAATTTTCTAAATTATTTCTCCCCAAACTCTTCTGGTCACTCAGGTATTCCTCGCCTAATCAAACTCTGCAGATCACCAACAGAAAGAAATAACAGTGATTCTGTTTTAGTGGCATGTCTGGTAGGTACATTTTTTTTATCATCCTTCATTATTTATCATGAAAAATGCTGAAACCCCAGCCCAAAAGATTTCAAAATGCTGAAGTATTGCAGTAACAGTTCAAATATAGGCCATGGTATCTTGCAACCCTTATGCATATTTTTGTCAATTGTTTCTCTTCTAATTAGAGATTTAGGCAGGCACTTTAGCAAAAATGGCTTCATCTTCACAATACAGAGGAATCAAAAATTCACTGGAGCGTTTCAGACTATAAGGTTTCGATAGTTCTCAAGTTCCATTCTCTAATGCTCTTTGTTCTTTGCTAAGCCTTGAATCACAGAATTTCCAGCCGTTTTCTGTACATGTGTGAACATTCTCTCACACACACACACACAGAAATATTTATGTGAAATGGGGGGAGAGGAGGGAAAAGAATTTTCTGTTTTTCATTACAATCCATTTTTCTACTTACCTCTACTTCTTTTCTTAGAGTACATTTCTTTACTGTACTCTAAGACATAATAGAGTCCAGCCAAAGAGTGGTCAAAAGAAGGCTAATGTATTGCCACATTTTCTATTCTGCAGTCTCATAATCTGAATGTTTGTTCCCCGATGGTTTGAAATGTAAGGTTTCTTTCTTTTGTACTAGTGTCCAAAAGGCTTCTGCTATGGGCATTTCGTAAAACATCAGTAAGAGGTGTTTTCTGAGCCAGACAGCTCACAGTTTTCGTAGATAAGACAAAAGCTGAGAAGGCTGATTGAAGCACAAAGATGTAGTGTGAGACATGCAGCAAATCAGAGATGGGTTTATAACCTAAGTTCTTTGACTGTCACCCCAGTTTTTTGGGATGTTTTTGTTGGTTAAATTTTAAGATGCCACTGTCTCTGTTGCTCCTGTCTAAAAGCAATGTGCTCAGTAAGAGTTGCCGTTTAAGAGCTGCATCTGAGGGAAGATTTATGTGATACATGAACCCAGTAGTGAGAGAGTAGCCAGGTTAGAGTCCATGGACCTGCAAAGGAGGTCATTTTCAAGTCTCAGCTATTATTTAGAAATTCCTGCAATGAAGAGTTTGTCAGTCTGTAGCTCTTACTGTTGTGTTGTTTTGCTTTTGCAGGCAGCCTTACGACGACTAGCAATTATGAGTCCTGATAGACTTGAAGATTCAGATTTTCAGCAGCTGGTAAAGCCCAGACTTGTGGATTCCTTTCTGCTATGCACAAATATGGAAGAGAGCTTTGTATAAACATGAGCCAAAAACCTCAAAGGAAGATAGCTTCTGAAAAACTATAATAGTATACAATCTTATGTAGTTTTAGCCTATTATTTATGACTTATTTATTTTAAAACCACAAACATGTGGTTTGTAGTAACAAAGAAACAGAATAATTAAATTTGTTTCAAGGGTTTACAAAGGTAACTTCAGCTTGTTTTCCTGCCATATCTGAACATGTCAGCAGACCGTATCAGTGCATTCTAACAAAAAGTTGTCTTGTGTAACAGAGTTGATTCAAGGTAATGAAGCCAAGCATTTGGTGCTCTGATTTTATATGCTTTTAATAATGTTTTCTTGCTGTTATTTTACTCTGATTAGAGCATTTTACATTCTTTGGAAGAAATATATTAATCTTATGCATTCATTTCATTAGGCAAGAACTATTTTTAGAGCTTCAAGAATATACTTTAAAATGAAAGAGGTGTTACAGTCTCAGTCCACTTAATGACTGTTGTTGTTGTGTTTTAATAGAATTATGAAAAAGCCTAATTGTCATTAGCTAAGGTAATATCCTAAGAAATTTTCAAATACTGGCTTTTAATGCTAAGAGGACATTCTTAACTGTAGACAATGATTCATCATAGGATACATAATTGCAGACAGCTCTTTTCTTTAATATGCATGTAATTCAAATTTCCTGAACAAATTAAGAGGTTTCTGGAAAAATCTTCCTGAAATCAAACATAGATTATGAGTGTGAAGATATCAAAATAAGATGTAAATTTCTCACTCGTTAATAACTTACTCCCTGGAAGTGTTTATGTCCAAATATGTTCTTAATATTCAAAGTACTATTTCTGTGAAAAAAATGTGTGTGCATATGTTAAATAATCAGAGCAGATAAATTGATTATGACTTAAATTTCCAATTTTCTGTTTTTCTAACTAGTCTAAAAATGTGAAATGAGAGAGATTTTTCAAGAGCTGATTTTCAAGACTTGAAGTCTTGGGATTTGTATTTGTAGTTTGTTTCTTGATGGTTTGCAACTATTTCTGTGGATCACTTTATTATCAGGCAACTTTAGGCTACTAGGACATCTGCCAAAAGAGTAAGTATGATTTTTCTTGACTATAGTTAATACTTTGTCTATAGATTTTGTAGGTATGTTAAGCGTCTTAATCCATTTATGTTTATTTAGTATTATATGAGGCTTAGATGAAAGGCAGTGGATAATTGTTGAGATATGATTGTCTTCCATGATTTGTTCTCTCTTGAGAATTTTGGCCTACATCAAGCAGTGACAAATAGTGGCCGCTTTTTTTCTTACCTTGAGTATATGGGTCAAGAAGATTTTGTTTTAATGCATCTTCCTTGTAATCTTTTTATTAAATTATGAACTATATTTTGAATGAAAATTTTAAAACATTAGAAAACATACATCTTCTGTCATAAGCAACCCCTCAAAGATAAGCATGAGCTCAGATTTTTTACAGATATGGTTTTCTAGTAAGAGCAGAGATGAATTCTGCTTTGTTTACATACTTTAAGGCAGTTCCTCGCAAGTGCTGAAGAAGTAGGTGTGTTGCACTGTACAGATTTCAAAATATGAAACGTGTGACTGATCTGTCACTGAGCAGAAATGCATGTATGAACCTTGCATGCCTTAAATCGTGAAATAAACTTTCCTGATATAAAATATTTTGTATAGAAATAAATTATAGTAAACTCGACAAGGTTATATTGCTGTCATCCTGATGATATGTTTATTCAGAATAGTATACAACACAGCACATTCTGTTGCTGACTGGGCTGTGCTGAATTGTGTTCTGTTAGTCTTGACCAACACCAGAAACTAGTCATTCTTAGACAGAGATGGAATTCATCCCAAGGAAACAGGAATATTACAAATTATGTAAAATGGATCTGCTAAAAGGAGAAAAAAAAAAAGGAAAAAGGAAGAAATATGAGCATTTGATGTACACACAGAAAAGAGCAGAGATTGTTGAATGATCAAGGCAATGGAACATATATGACTACACTGAAAATAGTTGCATATAAAAGGCAGATATTCCCAAAACCAATTTACACTGATATTTCTAGATAAAATGTCACTGGGCTACTGTTTTGACACAAGCACTTCAGTTGTGGAAAGGGAGCATGAAGTGAATAAGACTGTATTGCTGCTTACAGATCAGAATAATAAGTAAATCCAGGGCAATTACAGGCCTCCCAAGGCACAAAGGTTAATTACTGTGTCCTTAAAAGTGCAATTTAACTGTGAGATGATAGCAGGAATAAAAATATGTATAATTTTAGAGCATAACCAAATCAGAAAGACATCATTTGTCTTCACCGGGGAATCAGGGTATTGTGCTTCTTAGGAGATTTTTCTCTCAGTACTGTCCACCAATCTTTAAAAACAGAAAACTAAAAATTAATGTGTATGGCAGAAGCCTGATACCGATTCCAGTGCCAGTTCATCCTGCAGTTAACAGCCCTCATGTATGAACTCTGCCACAAGCTCATGATGGTTTCTGGGATACCTGTAGGACTATTTGCAGTGGTATCCTTACCAAGGCAGTAAATGCTTACTCCCCTCAAAGCACAACTAGAACTCAAGGAAAAGAAGTAATTATATAAGATTATATTTTGTAAACTTCTTAATGAGATAAATTGCTACAAGTAAAGAAAATTATCTTTTTCCGTATTGTAACGCATCATGCAAGGCACAGTGGTCATGTGCGGATTCAATTAGAGCAGCTATTAAATAAACCCCAAATACTATGACCCGTAACATTTTAAAGCCTTTTGGTACAGGCCAAACAGTGAGCAGCCCAGTGCAATGAATAGTCTAATTTTCTCTCCAATACAGGTCTGTGAATTCAGCTGAATTGATTTTAATACATATTTTAATACATATACTTTCAATCTGTGTATATGTAGCCATAAGTCTGGGCCCATACAGTCGATTTATATGTGTTCATGTTATAAATATGGCTGTTTACATTATAGAAACAAAATAAATCTAGATGGAACTCATGTTTGTAGAAGAAAAAATATATATTGAAACAGCCAGCTCAGACCTACTATAGCTTGAGTGTCATTGAAACCACTTATGCGAGGTCTAAATTTTTCACCCAAAGTTATGTACTTAATTTTTGCATACATTAATGCTCGTGAGAAAATAAATATTCCTCTTTACTCCTGAATCATTTAGAATAAAAAACTTGGTAGGAAGTATTGATTTTTTTTTCATGACTTCTAAGTGAATTTTAGATTAGCAATGTTTGATTTGAAACTGACCATTTTTTAAGCCAAAAAAAACCAGATTAAGACAAAATGTGTAATTTCAGTCTGTGATGAAACAAAATATTTTATATCCAAGTAGTATCACAACTTGATTTGGTGGATCAAAGTTAGAACTCTGTACATAGTTGAGTGAGGTAGAGAGTTTGTGCAATATACGTAGGAGTCCAGGTATGTGGACTTACTGGTCTGTAGAGATTTTGTATAAGCGAGGTAGATACTAGCTTAATCATTTTGGAAACTGAATATTATGTTTGCCAGGAGCGTAGTAATTTCATTTAAATCGTTCTAAAAATCCTAGATTGCGAGTGTGCTTTTGATTGTTTTTCCTTGTTTTGAAATGTTGGACAAACATGCAGTGAACTGCAGGATCCTTTGTAATTCTGATTTAACTCTGATGACTTTGGAAGATGTGTTCACATTTGAGCTTTTGTTTCAACTGCCTTTAAATAGTTTGCCCCAAATATTTTATTCTTGGAATAAATTTTTTTTTGTCTCAGTTTGTTGTGTGTTTAGTAGATGGAATTTATGTGGAATGTTATTTGATCTGTTCAGCTTAAAATACAGTTTAAAATTTCTACAAAGTTGTTTGGGCAGTTTGCCTGTCTTATGTATTTTGAAGATTCCACTTTAGTATGACAAGATCAATTTTGGTTTCTAATGTGACTTGTTCCGAATATGTATTTTCAATGTCAGGCTTTTAAACTCTGTCCTTTAAAGTAGCAGTAATGAGCTATCAGAATAACATTGTCTTTGGTATTGTGAGCAATCTTTTGTTTTCAGTCTTCGTTTACGTTAAATTAAATGCATTTAAATTGACACTGTAGCTCATGTAAGCTGTGCACTAGTATTCTCATTTCTGGGACAGGGAAGATGCCACTGAGTATAAAATTACACAGTCTCGTTGAGCATTAAAAGGTAGTTTCAGTGTGATTTTGTTCATCTGAATTGGATGTGCCTAGCTGGTGGTGGGGTGGCTGAACAGTTTTAGAGAGCCAGAAACAAGGAGAACACAAGGTCATATATTGTCGAAACTCGTGTGTTTTGTAGACATCCTTATCTCTACTTTCTAGCTTGCTCTTTGGTCTGAGTTTCTCTTTCATATAAGTGGTGCTGAGTGTGACAAAGTTCTGCCACTTGAAATTCTGTTCAGAGGTTTTATTTTTTATATTGCATTACTTCTCTGTATGCTGGTTATCAGATGAGAGAGTTAAGTTTTAAGGCCTGGTCCCACTAATTATGCATAAGAATTTTCTGAGAGACTAAGTAAGAAAAATAGCTTGTTAAATAAGGGTGTTCTGGATTGCTTCGAACAAAAGAAATGTATATTCTCCAGAAAACTTGCCAGAGTAAACAAATGCGGGTATTGGAACTTTCGCAAGTAGACTTGGTAACTAAGCACTAATGAATTAATTGATCAGTCCTCTCTCGAAAAAGCATGGCAAAAAATTAACGATGGAAATACCCTAAGAAGTTTAGACAAAGCACTAGCAAATCAAAGATTTTCTTTTTTTTTTCTTTCTCCTTTCTTTTTCCCCAACTGTCTGTGAGTGACTTTTTGTTTTAATAGTTCAAATGAGCCTATAGGCCAAGGGAGCCCTTGGGAAAGCAGTGGAAAAACAAATGTGGAGTGAGTAGTACTGCTAATTTGCTTTAGAGAGGAAAATAAAATGGACCAAATGACTTGAGTGAAGAAGGTGTGTCTAACGCACTACCATTTCTTATTCTTGCTAACCCCGGTGTCACACAGATGTCCAATTGAAAGATAAATTACTTACACTCATTTCTTGAAGGTTTTCATATATTGCCAGTGTCTTTTAAGTAGACACGTCAGTGTCCTCCATAACCTTAGTATGCGTCTGGTTCTGAACTAACAATATAAATGTTTCGCTTAGTTTTTCAT